AAATGATGAATTAAGTTGGATTGATGTACCCAAAATTACTCGATGACCTAATATGTTACTCCAACCTACATTCCCAATATAATATGTAGCTTCTTGGGTAGAAAGAATCTAATGAAACATAATTGAAATAGTCAATGAGATGTCATCTTGAATGGAAGCTGGTGGAATATTTTAACTTATTAATTAGAAAACACATACTAAGTATTTTCATCTAACATGAACTTGTATGTATAGACTTATTTACTTGAATATTTCTTTCACTGCAACAAAATATCATTTTTATTTTTCGAACACTCACTTACTGGCTTTATAAATCGTATTGAAAGGCTATAGAAATTGAACCTTTGCTCTTATTTCAAACAACAATTTACTTCCTAATTATCATAAATCTGATGCAAAAAGAAAAGAACAAATGAAAGGTCATCAATGTTATGATATCAGAGATTATATCACATCCATATGAACTGAATAAAAATATTAGTGAATGTAAGAATTGTTGGAACAATAGATTTTAATAGTTTCAATGCTATTGATGATAGTATTGATGATAAGCCAATTAAAAAAATCGAAAGAGTGCACTTCTTGGCATCATACACAGTTTCAAAATTTCTTATTATGCCATTAGGGTAAGAAATATTTGTATATCTACTTATTACATTATAAATTGGAGCATTAATGATTTTAGAGATGAGAAAATATTAGTAGGGAAGTATGCACGAAATAAAATAAAAAATATGAAATTCAAACATTGGTGATTAATATTACATCAATGCAAATGGTGGAGAATAACTTGGTCTATGTGTTGGATCTTTAAAAGAACCAATCATTCGAGCTCAATATTTGATGTCTAGAAAGCCAGATCAAAAAGTTGTCATACAAATGCAGAAGCACACATATATATGGTAATGAGCATGATTAGTAGATCCTCTCTCATATTCTCTCTATGGAGTGGACCCCTAGTTTTTAGCATTTAATAGTTTGAGTTTTTTTTTAACTTACATTGTATGATACATAGGACAAGAATTGGAACTCAAGAACAGCTAGATATAACTCAATTATTTACATATGTCCAGATGGCATATTTTTTGTTGTCCAACTTGAACATCAAAAAGAGTGAAAACATAAACAGCAATCTATTTGGAGGTTGTCAAGACTAGTAGGAATGACTCATTTCAAGATATCAAATTTAAATTTTATTATTATTATATAAGTATTTTAATTATTATTGAAAGAAAGCCTAATGAGAACTAAAAATACAAAAATGAGAAACATAATGAATAAAATCGTCACAATGATATTACCAAAGTGAATCACCATATGAAGAATACATTATACTTGATGAAAAATATAGATCTAGTGGAGATGTTGACCATTAATTTCCTCCAAAAATTTCATCATGCTTGGAAAAATATAGTTTTCAAATAGGAATTAAAATGTGTTCTAATGTCATTTTCACAACCCAAGAGTGAAGATGGTATCAATCAATCATACAATCTTATGAACTCAATGAATATGAATAAAGTTATAAACCTTGTAGAGTTATGAAGAGACAATATGGTTATTGAGTTTAAATTCATCTTTAACACTAAAAGTGATCATCCAATGATTATGCTCATGAACATATTGATAAAGTTGGTGCCAATTGTATTCTAAAATAAAGGCAATTGCTATGCCCATGATCATCTAATACTTTTTCTCTAATTCTAAATAAAGACTAATGAAGAACAATTATGTGCATGGTGATTTAAAATTATTCCATGAAAGAAAAATTATTTCTTAAAAAAACATTAATATGAAGGATATGAGTCAATTCTTTTGTGTCATTGGTCTAAAAAATTACAACAATAGATTGCTATGACTATCTGAATTATATCACAAAATTTATAAAGTTATTGACAGCTTTTAAATGAAACAATTTTATCCCCATTTAATAATTTTTTTAAATGGGACATATTAAATACACTATAGTGATCAAAAAAATATTTGCAATATTGAAAAATATTTAATATGCCTATACAACATGGAGTGTAACAAATGTCTAAAAATTTAAAGGACTGCATATCTATGACATTGTTGGCTTGTTAGATATATTTCAAAGTAACACTATTATAGATCATTGAAGATTTGTAGAGAAAGTTATGAGATACTTGCCAAAGATAGATTATATACTAGCAAAAATATTTTCTAGTTATTTGGACATGAACTCATATCATGTGCTACCAAAGGACAATATAAAGTCAATACTTGATTATGTTTTATTATTCACTAAAGGTTCAATATCATGGCATTGCATTCAATAATTTATTGATACTTAAATGCACTATGAAAGTTGAGTTCATTATATGTCACAACTTAGCTATATGAGGACTTTGGTAGCAAAATAAATTTTTATGCTGAGTGATTTTCTTCACTCTACACTATTGAAATTTTATTATTATAATTTTTTAAAAAAATCTTCTCCCAAAGTAAAAAGTGAACACTTACATACATACAAATATCAACCTTGTTATAGTATGAGAAAATGCTAAAAACGATATAATGTCTACAGAACGCATAAGAAAATGGTATGAAAAAATTGTTTAATAGATGAAGCATCTGTGCATCATGATTTCCCTATGAAATTATCAATTATCATATGACTGCATATCATTGATGCATTATAAAATGTTTATCGTTGGGTTAAATACAATTAGTTTAGCGGTTTTTTACATTTCATACAATATAAGAGTATAATAGGAATGAAGAGCAGACGTAAATTACAGACCAAGTAAATATTTGTTCACTTTATCCATTGAAATATTTAATTAATGGTGAATAACAGAATTGTGAGACATGAAAAGACATTCAACTTAAAAACATATGTTTCCGTGATGTATATTATTCGAAACCTTTCATTAAAATTAAGGATGAATCTTTTATTTGGCGAAGTAAAAGAATGTTTGAATCACTTAGTGAGGAGAAAAGAAATGGTGTCACCTTGAGGTATCTCCACGAGGGGAGATGCCCTTCTACTGCTTTGAGTGATGACGTGCCAAAGGACGCCCTGCCGCAAACCCATCATTGCCACCATGGCCAAAGGAGAAATCGTCTCATCGTTGCCTTCTTTGATTCGAAGATATACGGTTAAACCCAACTACATACCCATGGGTCTTCATCGTCTTTGTATGTGGCATCTGTAAAGCCGTTCTGGAGCACAAAAACACTCGTAGGATGCTTACAAGGATCCGCCCGAAACGGTATTATTCTCGCTAGAAAACAGAAGACTAAAGAAGAACAGTGATAGGAAGCGACTTCTTGCTGATCTAAGAATATTTCGAGGTCACATCTCTCTCTCTCTCTCTCTCTCTCTCTCTCTCTCTCTCATCGTCCTAGAGTTAATGGCCATTTCGACCCTTGGAGATGCCTGGCATTGCGTGTGATTATGGTTAGCGGTCGTCTTTATTGTTATCATAAGTAGGGTGCTAGGCTAATCATTTAATTATCCGACTACATGCATACACCCAGCTGGGTCATCAATGATTAAGCCGGAGAGATTTCGGAGGATGGAGCAGCCCCTTACCATCTCCCCAGCTACGAGAAAATGGGTTCAGCTCTTCTGCAACTGGATTACATCTTCCGATCCAATTTCATCCTTCGGGCAAACTAGGGGCACCATCGGCTGGGATGACCCTATCCTCACGTGAGGGGAAGACGACGAGCTCTTCTCTGCACCCACCCGACACTGGCCCTGCCGCTCTCCCGGCGAGCCCTCGCGGCGCGCATAATCGCGGTGGTTGGCCAAATTGACGTTCGAACGGAGCTCTCGTGACCAGCGAGCTAACGCCTGGTTGACATAACGCCTCCATTGACGGCACCGTCCATCCACATCTCGACGTTGACATAATCTCTCACTCTCTTCTCTGGTTTCGTCCGTGGTTAGTATAAGGAAGAGAGAGAAACGTCGGTGGCACGCACGCATTACTAATCTCCACATAAGCGCTTTCTCTCTCCTAAAACCAGCTTTGCAGAACTCGTGGAGGGACGGGGCCGAGCGAGACATCTGAGTCTGTCCAACCATGAAGTCTTCTGCCAGTTTTGAGGGATAAATTGAGGGGAGAGGAAGAAGACTCGCTTACTCCGATGAGAGGGAAGAGAGAAAGTAGCATTAGGGATTGAATATAGGGGCACGAGAGAAGCATTCAGGAAGGGGAAGAGCATGCTATCGCGGGAGCCGCGCAACAAGACAATCCTTCTTTCACGAGACCCCGGCACTGATCCCCCTCTTCGTCGCCCGCGTGCTTCGAGATTGGGGAAGAGGGGTACTCCCTCCCGCACGAAACACGACAAACCCACCCCCCCACTTCTTCAGTCTCCGCCTTATTAAAGTAATGGTTCGTCCTGCTGTCACACGTTCACAGCTAAGGAACATTCAACTCCGTTCGCCATTAAAGAGGAGCCTTCTCTCGCTCTCCGAAAGGGTTAAAAAGAAAGCTCAAGTGCAGCTGTGAACAACTTGAGGACCTACTCCCACTAGAAGAAGACAGATGAAGATAAGAAGACGCGAAGTTCTTGGCCTAGTGAGAGAGATAGAGAGAGAGAGCGTGGGGGGGGGGGGGTGTTCCAATCCTGCTCTAATGATAAGGGGCGAGGATGCGGGAGGGAAAGAGTTGCACTTGTTCCTGTGTGCACCGCAAGCTGACAGATTGGCAAGAATCAGGTGCAGGCGTATGAGAGCGGAGAAAGGAAACCCTCCGCCAAATTGCTTTTTTGGCTTTTGGCCAGGCCTAGGGAGGAAAGAGAAAAGGTTCCTAATGGCCCCCTCTCGCCAAACCCATTTACTTCTCTAAGTCCCCCATCTACCTAGTCTCCCCCAGTTAGAGACCATGGGAGCTGCAAGCCTTCACCTTCATCTTTACTTGTTTCGCCATGCTCAGAGATATACGTTACGTTTAGCCAGCACCAACGCCGCGCACCACAACAGTGAACGATCAATGTTTGATCAAGTTGTTTAAGCTTGCTTGTCATGGGAATTTGTTGTGATGGGAGGCGGGGGACCTGTCGATGACAGCTGCGCATTCTGTGGTCGGACGGCTGTCGGGGCGCGTCAGCTCTTCCCACCGCCCAAACCTTGCGCTCGTCTTACTCTCCGGTGCGGAGTCCCCCGTCTTTTTGGTTACTTCGAAGTTGACTCCCATCCCTCCAGAAAAGAATGAAAGAAAGAAGTAGACGATAAACCATCATGTGCGAAGGCCGATGGGAATTCGGGGCCGTGGGATTAGAATATGAGCCGTGGCACCCGCTACCAAGGTGGCTCTCTCCTCTTGAATTGTCCAACTGGCCATCTACTTCGACTCGGGTTTCAAGGGCTTCATTGAATTGCCCAGCCTAGGAAAATGGTGCACGCCCTCGACCCACCCGTTTCCGGATAAGCTCCCGCCGATCGAAGACTCCATAGGTCGACAGCCACCAAGTTTCTCGCTAACCAGACCGAATCCCCACTGTTCACGATCGATCTTTCTTTTGGTGGGCTCTAACCTACCTAGATTACGTCGATTCTCCGCTTGGTTCCGGCCACATTAAAACCATGACTAATTAAATATTTGCAGAACGGGATGCTACCCATATCTTTAGGAATTTTCTCCGTCACCTTCCGTGTAGGGGATAATCATACATCGGGAAAGGAGGCCTCTAAAACTTTGCCCCCGGCGGGAGAATCAAATCCAGGAGTAAACAAATGTAGGAGAGCTAGGCCTGTCTAGGTTGAAGAGTCGAGCTCACGCCGATACCTCTCAACACCTCTCTCTTCCAGTTCGGCCCCCCCGCTCCCACCAGCGTTCTCTACGACCCGCTCGCCGATGCTGCCGGGCTATTTTGTAATGCCAGCGCGGGTCGGAGCGTTGGGAATTGGAAGCTTCCTCTGGCCACACCATAATCATCCGATGTCGTATCACCCTCCCTCTTTGCACCCCGGCATTGGTACGCGGGGGGCTTCTTTGCATGGCAGACATCTGTCAGACGCTGAGCAATGCACTGGGCAACGCCATTCTCAGCCCAGCTCTGCGGCCGATCCATTTCCTGAAACCGAGATCTTGGAGCTGTAAGGATCCACCCAAAGAGTTAAACCTAAAATTTACCCCGAGCTTTGACGAGCAACGACCCGGGACGAAACAGATGATTAAAGGGGGTTCGGTGCGGCCAGTGATCATCTCAGCTTACCAGGGTATTGCTACACTGCTGACGCAGCGACAGAGGAGAGTTTGACTCGTAGTTGTTGACCGGGCCATGCATGTCGGCAGGACAAAGAAAACACGTAATTTAGCCAGCGAGAGAGAGAGGAAACTATTAGGATTGAAGCTGGATATGACCGCGGATAATCATATCGTGAGATGGGGCGCAGATCACATGCCCCAGGCGCCCTGCTTGACGTAGCCTAACGTTGGGAGGGGGACCGACTAATCAGTGGGATTGACGGTGGGGAGTATACCACTCTCTCTCCCGCTCTCGCACATGCTCCTTGGGGACCATCACTCACACAAATGACAAGAGCAGTTGAGAGAGAGAGAAAGAGAGACAGAGACAGAGAGACACAGGGGGAGAGAGAGAGAGAGAGTAGGGTTCCATCCTCCTGATCCCAGCCTCAAGTAGATATGAGATCCCTAGAAGGATGCTCGTACAATACAGTACCCGCTCTTCCTTCTCCTGCCCCGCGGAACCCGTAAAGCTCTTCGTCACAGGGTTCTCGAACAGCTAAAGAGAAGCTAAGAAGATTAGAGAGAGAGAAAGAGGGACCTGCTCTTGTCTGAAAAGGTGGCGAATTAATGAATTGGGTGGTGATAGGCTTTCCTTTTGTCTTTCACGAGGGCCGTGAAAGGTCCCCCCTCGGCCGAGAGAGAGGAGTGCGCATCTCTGTCCACGCCGATCGGCCGGGCGCCGCTCCTCCCTCATCACAAGCAAGTACGCCCCCGCCTTGCCGGCGTGCTGCCTCGCCTATCGACTCGTTTCAAATGTGGCCATTTCTGCGGCGGCGAGACCCACATCAAATGATTAGACCCAGTGGTCCTCTGCCCTCCCGTGGGACGCCCTGGGGCCTTCAATGGTGCACCTAACGAGACTCCGATGTACGGCGAGAGAGTGTCTCCGGCTTCTGCCATTTTCCGCCACGTGAAGAGAACTCCCACGTTTCCCGTCCTTAAGCCACTGCACCCAGAGCGAGGCGCAGAGAAACAGAGAGAGATGTCGGAGTTTGGTTCCATCCCTCGACGAGGGGAAGACAAGATGTGCTGAGGGTTACAAAATTTGTACGCAGAGTGGGGTGCCCAAGTATACAATGCTGCTTACAGGTAGGTACACAACCCTTGTCATAACCTAGAGAGAGAAAGAGAGAGAAAGAGAGAGAAAGAGAGGAGTGTTAGTAGATCCAGGGAGGGGCCTAGCTAGGTGTTTCGGCGGCTGTGTAGATCTCTGTGTGAGGCCATGCACGGCTTCTTGGGTTACTTTAGGAGCGGCGGCGGCGGCGTCGCCGTCGCCGTCGCCGTCGTCGTCGTCATGAGAAACACGGAGGCGCCGCCGCGGGTACCTGGCGGTGGTGCTCCGCCAGCGGCCGGAAGATCACCGGCGCGCCGTACTGCGGGTAGAGGAGCATGAGGACGGTCGGGGCGTGGACGTAGGAGGGAGAGAGGCGGAAGGAGTAGCGTTGGAGGAGGACGGTGAGGGTGATCTTAGCCTCAAGGAGCGCCAGGTTCTGGCCGATGCAGGTGCGGGCTCCCAGCCCGAAGGGGATGAAGGCTGTCGGGTGGCGGGCCGCCCGAGCCACCCCGTCGGCGAATCGGCCCGGGTTGAACTGGGCCACGTCGGGGCCCCAGAGCCTCGCGTCGTGGTGGACGGCCAGGATCGGGATCATCAGCTCCGTCCCGCGCGGCACGTGGCACCCGCCCAGCTCCACGTCGACCTTCGCCGTCCGTATCGTCGCTACTGCAGGGGGGTACAGCCGCAACGTCTCGTTGAGAACCATTCCTAGCTGTCAAGAAGCCCGAATCCACGAACAACGTCAGAGGTCACCGCATTAATCGACGCGTGGCGCGCCGGTGCTGTAAAGGACCATATTGCCTGTGAGCGACGTCCCCTCCGAATGACCGATCTATCCCAGGCACTGGGGGAGATACTGGCGATCGGCGGCGGAGGGTTGAGGGGTTTTTTGGTCATTTTAAGGAGAACATGAACCCGGGGAGGAGGAAGAGGACAAAGCAAATCAACGGCGGGGAAAAGGACGGTCGTGGGAGGCGGCGGCGGCGGCGGGGGGGTGAGCTTACCGTCTTGAGCTTGGCCACGTGGTCGCGGGTGGGGATGTCACGTGAGCCGCAGAGGCGGAGGACTTCGTGGCGCGCCAGGTCCTGCCACTCGGGGTGCATGGCCAGCAGCACCGTGGCCCACGTCAGCAGGTTCGACGTGGTCTGCTTCCCTGCGAAGAAGAATGTCTTGCACTCCTCCACGATGTCGTGCAGCGTGATCACCGTCGGGCTCGGCGACCCCCGGCGGTCCGCCGCCGCCGCCGGCGAGGCCGCCGTCTTCTTGGCGGAGGCGGCGGCGCTGGCGTTCATCAGGAGCCCGAGCATGTCCTTGGCGCCGCCGCCGGGCTTGCCGTCCCCCGTCATTGCGCCGCCGGCGGCGTTGTCCCTGCGGAGGCCGATAAGCCGCAGCAGGGACCTCCTCACTTCCTTGTCCAGCTTCCACGTGTTCGTGTTCCTCTTCGTCGGCAGAAACCTGGACGAAGGAGTTCCAGCGGCAGCGGTGAAATGAGCGTCGCCGGCGGCGGCGGCGGTGAGAGTTGGCCGGCGGTGAGGAAAGGAGGAGGGGTCATTACCGGTAGCCAGGGATGAAGATGTTGCGGAAGGCCTCGGCGGCGAAGGCCATCTGCTGGCCCTGGAGGCGGAAGACTGCCTTGCCATCGTCGTAGCTCTGGCCGAAGGCGGCGCGGGTGATGGCGTCCTCGGTGACTGACTGGAACCACTCCGAAACGTCCACCTCGACCTCGCCGGTGGACGACATGGCCGACCACTTCTCCAGCATGTCCACCACGCTCCGCCCGATGACCGGAATCAACAGCTGCCCATTCCATCGATTAGAAAACGCCTAAGGAGAGGCCTTACTATAATCGGCGGCGGCGAGAATCGTGGAGGGGCGGCGGCGGGTACCTTGAGGTTCTCCATGTGGAAGGTGGGGGTGATGACCTTGCGGTGGTGCGCCCACTTCTCCCCGCGGAGGCTGACCAGGCCCTCCCCCTCGAGCTGTCGGACCAGCGGGTGCGACTCGTAGCGCTCGAAGAACTCCGATCTGGAGACGAAGATCTCCCGGATGAGGTCCGGGTCGGCGACGGTGAGCCGGGCGGTGGGCCCGAACCAGAGCAGGAAGTTGGACCCTGCAGCAGCGAGAAGAGGATGAAGGGCCACGTCAGTGTGTCCCCCTCTCGTCGTCGCCATTACCACCACCTCAACATCCTTCATTCAACACACGGGAAGTAGCAACTCCGGCCCAGGACCTCTGTCGAACCAGAAGCGCAGTGGCCGCAGTAATAAAGGCCACCGGCGGCCAGAAGAGGGAGGGAGGGGGAGGAGGAGGAGTTAATAACAGAAGGAAGCATTAAAGGAAACTGCTCTGCCGCTCCACGGATCACATGCCGGCGGGCGCCCTCAGCCGGCCGACGGCGAAATTGGGGATGGCCGAGCATAGAAAAGGAAAGGGAGGCGCTGATGCTAACAGAGCGAGAGGCCACCAACGCATTTAAGCCGGCTCCGAGTGGGAGGGAGGGGGTCGCGAGGAAGAGAGATTTTAAAATCGTCGCGTCAATGATGGGAAGGGGAGAGGGAAGGAGAAGGGACAGCCGGGGGGCCGCAACAGAATCTGAATGGCACAGTAGATGGCAAGTAGTTATCAAACAAACAAACAAACACGCAGAGAGACGGACGTGAACCAGGACAGAGCGGTCGACAGGGGGGAGAGGGCTGCCGATAGTCGCCGGAGGAACACGACGGAGGAATGGGAAACAATGGAAAATACAAGAGAATGATTCTGTTCTCGGGAAAGAAGTGCAGCAAAGAGAGGGAGGACGGGGCGACGGTAATGAATGATGAACAGAGGGGAATTTCCCGTCCAAGGAAGGACACGGCACTAGAGTGGAACCAGGAGGGGCTACTCCGGCGTCGAGAAGAAGGCGCAGAGCGAGTAGGGCAAGATGAGCAATGAAGGGTCGAGCTCGGCCAGACCACTGGACGCAATTCATTCGGGAAAAAGCGCGACGCCGGGGAGACCGAAATTTCGCGGAAACCGAAAACAGAGGAGCGGGAGGAGGAGGAGGAGGACGACGACGACGACGAGGGGATGGATCATGGGAAGCACAAATGGAACGAGGCCGGAGGAAGACCCAAAGCAAAGGCGTTGGGGAAGAGGGGGGCATACCGTAGACCTTCTTCCAGTGGTGATAGAAGGAGAGCACCCTGGGGACGATGTTGTGGGAGTAGGGAGGAACCATCGGCTTGGAGGAAGCCTCCAGCATCAAGCGGACCATTTCCCGGACGTTCCCCAGGAAGAAACGGTAGGGGGGGCCCTTTATCCCCTGCCTGGCGAAGTGCCCCTCCACCCTCCTCGGCCTCCACCACAGAAGGTCCAGCACCTTCAATGCGATGAATAGGCATACCAACAGTATCAGCGAAGGCAATAGCGACTTCCACTGGGACAGCAGCCCCAGCACCTCCGCCCCCATTCCCACCGCGCCGCCGCCCTCTTCCCCCCTTCCTCCTCTCCCCTCTCCCCCCTCCCCCCTCCGCTCTCCTGCCTAAAAAAATACCCTTCGCTCTGCTATCACCGATTCCTTTCTCTGTCACGGCAACTACAGCTAGAACAAACTCCTAACAGCCGCCGCTCCTCCCCCCCGGGTCACCACCCTTTCTCTCCTCCTGTTTCGGCTCGAGCTATCTGTGCAGTGAAAATGTGGGGACTTGGGCTTTAAAAAGAGGGGGCTAGAGCGCGAGAGAGAGAGAGAGAGAGAGAGAGAGAGAGAGAGAGAGAGAGAGAGGGTTTTGAGATGCTAAGATTGATGTGGAGGGGCTGGGGGATGACGGGTTATATATATAGCAAGATTGGGCTGGAGCGAGGCCGGCGCCGTTGGGACCGCCGTCAGAAGCTATACAGGTCAACGAGGAAGATTGGACACGTCTTCAAAAATGTCATCAGTGACTAAAATACCCTCCGTGGCAATTTTCTCCTCCCGCTCTGTGGTCGTCGTAAGTTGATGCCCACAATACCGGTTTATCGTAAACTATTTACCAATACACTCTTCTCCCCACGCCGGCGGACCTGTAATTCCGGTCGGTGCAAAGCCCAAGTGACGGCCTGCGCCGGCGACAACGACCGGAGGAGGACCAACCGTCGGATCCCCATCGAACGAGTCGCAGCGGACAAAGGCGGGGTGCACCGGTTGCTTGCTCCACGGCGGCTGGAGCAGAAGAAGAGGAGGAAGAAGAAGAAGAAGAAGATGACGATGAGGAAGAAGGAGCGGTATTAAGATAAACAAGTGGACGGGATTTCGGCGAGCGAGGCCACGGATATGAGGTGTCATGTTGCGGATGAACGGGACAGCGCCCAGCTGTGATAAGCAGCACGGAGGGTCAGAATATGGAGCTGCCCTTCTGGTGTTTCCCGTAAGCGATGGCCTGTCAGATGGTCTTTCGTTTGCACCGGCTCCGCCGAATGTCAACCGTTCCCCTCTCCGCTGCTGAGGGCCTGGTCACTGTTCCCTTCCGGGTGCCTTCCGGGGGCGGGGAGTGGCTGTGAGAGCTGGTGCGGGCCGCCCCCCGCCGCCTCCCTGAACTGGCAGCCTCGGCGGCGCGGCAAGATGCGCTGTCTCCGCGACGGATCGACACAACATTCACAAATCTCCCGCCCCACAGGGCCTCTGGCAGCCTGCCGCCGCCGATAATAATCCCCTCCGGCGTGGTCTCCTTCACGTCACAGCGGATCATTCTCTCTCCCCCCATCCTCAGTATTCACCCGCCGCCGCGTGCGGCGATGCCCCGATAGGGGATGAGCGCGCAACGGCGAGTTCTTCTCAGCGGCGGGGGCTAATAGCGCCCATGATGGAGGGAGGGGACGGCTGACCGGACGATGAGGAGGTGACGATGATTGAAGCGTAGCATAGCGGTGGCGATTTGGAGGGTAGCCCATTAATTTTGTCAGATGACAACAAGAAGGGCTATGTGCATTTGGGAGGGATAATGAAGAGGAAGGCATTCCTTGCAGGCTCGCGGGCCTCCCCCACCAACATGGCCCGCTGTCCCTGCCCCCGCCCCCCTCCATTCCCCTCCCTCTCCTCCTTTCCTAATCCAGTCTAACGAAATCACGACAGGACGGGTCCCCCTGCCCCCTCTTCCCATCCCATGGGCCCGTACAAGCCCGGCCGCGGCCCCCCGGTACGAACGAACTCTCCTCCTCCCTGCCGGACTCGTCCCTGTCCTCCTCTCTCTCTCTCTCTCTCTCTCTCTCTCTCTCTCTCTCTCTCTGAGGCTTTTTGTTATTACGTCTGTTGAGATGATTCAATCTCGTGTCCTAATCACCGGGAGACAGAGAGCTGGGTAATTTCTAGTTGCGCCGCCCCGGGAGAGAGAGAGAAAGAGGGTTGCGGCGGCGTACGATCCAGCCGGAATAACTGGAGCCGCCGGCTGTCTAATGATCAGCTAGCCGCCTGCGTGTCTCGTCCCACGCCATGGCCCGGGTGGTGAAACCAGGTGCCTCTCGCCAGCGATGGCGACAGCAGCTCCCTCCCCCTCCGTCGTTTCCCATCTACGCCCGCGGTCGTGCCGGCGCCGGCGTCGATCGCGCAGAGCCCGTCTGTCCAGTTTGCAGTGACACCCCGTGGCGACGAATCAATGGGGCCAACGCTCTCCTCGGACGGGAGCCCGCTCCTGGCCCTGCCCCCCATTCTCTCTCTCTCTCTCTCTCTCTCTCTCTCTCTCTCTCTCTCTCGATGGAAGCGGGAGGAATAGGAAGACGCCGGGGGCGTCGGCGTCGGGATGTTCCTTGCCCCATCCCCCCCCCCCCCCAAGCATGACCGGGCACGCGGCGCCCCCGACGCCTCGGTCGTTGGACGCACCTACACGATGAGGATCGCCTCGGAGTTTTTCTGCTCTCCCCTCCGTCCTCTTCCTCGACCGAGGGACCATGTTGGTCACCACTTTCTCCATCCCTTCTTCCCCACTGATGTTTTTCCTCCCCCATTTCTCGTAGCCAGCCTCTCGTCATGTCTCTCTCTCTCTCTTCTCCCTCATGCGATCAGATCGGAGGAAAGGGAGAACCCCTGAATTGGGAATTTCTAATCATCCGCATGGCAAAAAAATAGGTCTTTTTGGATTTTGCCATCAAAAACCGGGTGCAAGGTTAGAAAAAATATGAACTTTATTCATTATTTTAGGTGCCCGGGACCCGGTTAGGTGCCCCATTGATCCTCAGATCGAGATCCATCCGACGGCGGATTGACCTCCGCCGATCGAGGAGGCGACAGGCTAGCGACCGCCGCAGAGGGGAGGGGGGGCACAAGAGCGCCCCGCGGACCAGGGGATGCATCCAGATGAAGACACCAGCTCTCTCTCTCTCTCTGTTAATTTTTTCCCTGCCAGCTGTCAGTAGGCAACCGGTGGGTGTCAAGATGATTACGAGACCATTCGTCACTAAATGGCGAATCAGACATTGCCACGTCATGACCAATCATTCTAGGTTTTGCCCCTCTCCGATCTCACTCTATGAAAACCTTCAGTGTCCCGTCAGCCGACAGCTTCACCTATCTCGTTTGTCGTCTACCTAAATGGCCAAAATGGCCCCCCGATCTTCTGTCGTGTAACGATATTCTCCCGAGACTGCCCCCCGCCGCCATCCTTTTCCCGACCGTCCCGATGGACGGAAACAACCCCGATAAGTAGCCATTACACAGGTCAACGACGGAGCCACGTGGGTGGATTAGTTGGCAATGACCCCCCCATCGGAAGCTTTCCATCTCCCCGTCAAGAGGTCACGTGCGCAAATCAGGAAGTGATTACTGAACGAGTGGCGTCATTAAAGAGGGCCTTTGAGTCGGCCTCCGAGTGGACCAAAAACAGGTGGATGAAAAAAAGCACGACTTTTGTCTAGGAAGCGGGAGAAAGCGCCGTCGAGCAAGAATCACCTGAGAACGGTGGCGGAGCGGTGGCGTGTCGCGGGGGACCAGGGAAACTATGGGCCTCCTTTCTTTTCCTCTCTCTCTCTTTCTCTATCTCACTCTGTCTCTCTCTCTTCCCTCTGTCGCAGCTATCTGTTGCAGCTACTATATTTCACTGGTATCTTTCACTGCTATCTATCGCTTCCATCTTTTCCTCTTTCTGTCTATCTAATCTTTTGGGAGATTGTGGCCACCGGTACAAAGATAACAACCTCTGAGAATAAGGGATATTGGCGGGGAGAATGGACGGCTCGTCCTCGATTCCCTCCCACCTCCCGATCCCTTTGTCGTTCTTCCCGGTAGCCCGGGTAGTGGTGGGAGGAAGAAGATCTCTCTCTCTCTCTCTCTCTCTCCGGGGTTAAAGGATCCGGCAGCAGCTGGAATAAATAACGTGGCGGAGAAGGGGAAAGAAACAAAATCTGGTGGTGGTGACAAGATGGGGAGGATGGGAGGGAGCGACACAGGGTGGGGGAGGGCGTGGGTCGGCAGGGGGAGCGTAATAATAGCTCTCCAGGAAGGGCCTGCTGTAAGAGTTCCCTCTGTCTCTCACTCACTTCTCTCTCATCACTGCGCTCGCCGGTTACTAATACTACGACGACGACGACGACTAGCAGCTATCTCATCAAGTCATTCGAATCTTTTTCCTTGCTCATGCTTTCATCATCGATCGGCGGCGAGCTGTCCTACGCGTTGTCCCTCTCTTTTGCTTTTGCCTCCTCTGGCTGGCTCTTCCGGAAATGGCTTGCCCTTCCCTTGCTCCCCTCCCTTCTCTGCCACTGCGGTGGCTGGCTTCCTACTATTACTACCACTGTTCCCCGCCGGTCGGGGAAGGTCGCGCCTTTTGTCCCGGCGCCTGCCCCTCCGACGGCCGCTTGTCTTGTACCCCGTGGGCTGGGCACCCCCGGGAATCTCACGCGACTTCCGCGTGACAAACCTAACCTTGTCCCATTCCACCATGTGTTCCCTCGCCCTGCTCCTGCCCCCCTCTCTCTCTCTCTCTCGCTATATCTATCTATCTATTTATCTATCCATGTATCTCCCTCTCTCGCTGAGCAGACGATCATGAGAGGATCGTTCTCGCCATGAGAGGAACCTCCAGTCCAAAGCACCGGGTGAGCTGGGGTGATGTTGACGGACGCCGCGACGAATGCATGCATCATCGGGAGGCACTGTTACGGGGTGAGCCTGGATTAAGAGGAGTCGGAAGGAAGGAAGGGTCCCGAATGGGAAAATCCGAGGATATGTTTTCCAGCGGTGGCGTTCCTCTCCCCCTTCAGCCCCCGCCCCCGCCCCCGCCCCCGCCCCCGCCTTCTCTCGTCCAAGCGGCGCCGTATTTTGGCGGCAGCGGAGGCGCAGAGAAAATCAGAGCAGACGGATGACTACAGTTCACTGTACTTTCTTACTCCCAAAAAGTTCACAAAAAAGTGAGAAAACTATTCGCACATGGACCGATGGAATCTCGTCTTCTCCTGCTTTCCGTTAATCCAAGCGACGAATTTTTAAAGACGGAACCCGTT